GCACATACCTCTATAGTAACACCCTGCACAATCAGGCCCACAGAAACCACTAACAGCTTGGGACCTGCAGAACCACCAAAATAGCCAGGAGCAACACAAAAAAAATTGTCTCTGTATCCAAACCTCTGTCTGCCGAATTTGTCTGTTCTTCCTTTAGTCATGTGTAGCCCTGAAGACACCAAGACCTTAATTTGAACCAAGGCCGTCTCACACTACCACTACTAAGTGTTTACTTTGGCAAAGAAATGCATCTTTGAAATGAGAACAGCTCAGAAATCATTCTTCAAACTGTCCCCAGGTTCAAGGTTGTCAAGGTGGAATTTAAAAGTGCATCCTACTCAGAGCTTAAAAGCTTGTGACTATATCAAGCATTTGACATAAGCAGGGTAAGAGGCTCAGAACCAACATCCTGGTTCATATTGCACCCTGAATACAGCATCCTTGCTTTGAGGGGACCTTTATTATGGTTAATAAAGACTTATACCAGAGCAACTCTGTTCAAGTTTGGCTTCATTCACACGGTGAATACAGGTGTTTTTATCAGAGTGGTTTCTAAAAGCAGCATGTGAAATATGTAACTAAATTCTGGAAGTTTTTAATCTCAAACTTGCCATCAGCACTGTTAAGAACTTCCCCAAACAAACACATGATGCATTAACAAAGAATATGTGGCAAAGGTGCTTTGGAAACAAGCTGACCCTTAATGTCAGTCCACCGAGGAAAGGAATATTTTTGGCTTATATGAAGCGAAGGGGTCATATTGCCAAAGAGGAGAGATAAAATCTGGAAACGACCCGGTAAGCTGTTCACAAGGCAGCCTTTGTCCCAGTTCCCAGACCCCACTCTCCTGCTCCATGCAACTTTAACAGGCAGGACCCAGAAGGCTTTAGACAAGTATCTCATGCCAGTGTTAACGCTCTTACCTCAAGTACAACACCTGGCACGGTGCTTAAGCTCTTATCAGGAGACAAGAGAACTCTGAGGTTACTCAAGAATAACTGGGCCTACAAAGTCATCTTCATCTACCCTATCAACCCTACCACTAAGGTAGGCACAAACTGACATAATAATATGTAACAGAAGTTTAAAAAGAACATCACCCAGTGTGAGTGCGAGTAGTATTGTTAATAATTCCTAAAATAAACCTTGTGCTTTGTTTACATGACCTACATGACCACACACAACTGAGTGGCCCATCCTCTCTACTGCAGAGATTGTCTCCCAGGCAGTGCACAAGAAGGGAATCTTCATACAGAAAATTAATGACTTATGGGGTCCCAGAGCCTCATCAGCCTCTTATTTCTTTACAGGGCACGTATACAACACACTGGGTAAGGGCGACTGAAATCTGCACTGTCACTTATCCACTTTACATCCAGAGAAAATAACAGAAGAATTGTCTTAAATCTACTTTTTCCAAGAGCAATAAGTTATATTTCCTATTCTCTGCAATGATTACATTAGTCATTCCACCAGGATTTACCTTGCTGTCCTAGAGACAAATTAGCACAAGGTCACTGACTCCTAACACATATTTTTCAGAGCTCCATATGCAGTTCAGAATATGCAGATCTGCGTTTCCAAGTGCCTATTTCAGGTTTTGAACATTAGACAAACTATACATCATTGTTCCCAAAGCAGAGTTTTCCATAGGAAAATCCACTGTCCCACATTCCAGCCTCTTAGGGCAATAAATGGTTTACAGTGCCCTTTTGTAAAGCACAAATTTTCACCTCACATAAGCCTAAGCCTTCAGCCCACACTCCACATGGAGCTGAACAGGATTCTTCCACTGAAGACAACTGGTCTCCAAAACTAAGAGAAAAAATTTCTTCTGCCCCAATCTCAGGAAAAAAACCCCTTCACGATATGCTGTTGCTGGAACATTTCTGAATACAGTTCTGCTTTGGGAAGTTATTTCTGGGTAATGTAACTATTTGGATAATGGTAAAGCTACTATTAAAGGCCTTTACTAAATTAAATATCAAGATGACATATCATTTTACTTAATTCTGCATATTGCAGGTCATACAACCACGAGCACAGTTTCTCATTAGAATGAGCAGTGTCAAAGGTCTTTTTTATTTCGGAAAGCACATTTTTTAAGATCTTTTTGCCTTTACAGTGGCCTGCCTGCCACAGGGCAACCCTAGCCACCTACACACAGCAAGGTCTGCAAGGTCACCTTGTTTTAAAGAGCTGAGATGAAGGGGCTAAGAGGGGAAAACCAATGTCCTTTCTCCTCTGTCAGTGTGGTACAGCTCCCACAATCAATCTCAGGAGAAAAACGGGTGACATTTAGATAAAGCCCAGTCTGTGTGACACCTGTTGTAAACCCCAGTGTTTATAAGCAACTTATTGATTTAGAAAATTGTTTTTAATCTGCTCACTGTACAGGGGACTAGGCTATAGGCATATTTTCCCCTGTGGAATGGCTTATCTGAAATGAGACTTTTCAAGCCGTGCAACTGGATACGTGACTGAAACAGCTGTGCTGAACATGAGAGTCAGGTAGGCTTGTACTGCTCGAAGGCACAAGGGAATCACTCTTCTGGTGTTCAGAAAGGGCTTTTTTTTTATCATAGAAAGTCTGACAGTTAACAGCAGAAAGGCAAATTAAAAAGAATAAATAAATTACATTATAATTAAAAGAGCCCAGACCACACCACACATCCGTGACTCAGCATAAATTTGGTCACTTCCAAACATAAACCACCCGAGGTAATGACCAAGGTAATGACCAAGGTAATCTAGAAAAACTTTGCTTTCTAGTCCGTCGGCAAAGTTAATGGATACCACACATTTTATTGCTTCTCTTTAAAACTTTAAACACTGAAATACTAGAAAGGGGTGTCACGTGTAAGTAAATATTACACAGAGAGCTCTGTTACAGCAGCTTCCCTGGGATCGTATTTAACACAGTTCTGGAAACACGGGGAGTCAGCTCGTGCCCCCACAAAACAAAAAAAAAAAACACTTCTGCACCTTTCTGTGCTACAGTTTTGGTTTCCACACCCCCAGTTCTTTTCTAGAGTGAATTTCTATCCAGCACGGAAAACGTTAACACAGAATCCGAGTGTTTTGTCAGTGCTGGATCTGACATAATGGGAAAGGTACAGCTGAGGCAACAGCCACGAAATATCCCCATAAACCAACCAGGATCAAACCCAACCTGAAGCACAGCACAAAAGGCAGCTGCTGTTACCTGAGTGTCCCATGTTCCCTGAGGAGAGTATGGACAGAGACCTACAGCCCACATGCTTAAACGAATCAACTGTTCAACAGAGATGGCTTTTCATCTCATACCCACATTCATCGCCCCAAATCAGACTTTCCAAAATTATTTTGGAAAGATCCAAGTTCACAGTCGGTTTGTGGAGCAGATTTAAAAATTTATCCCAAAGCCATCAAGTAATCAGGCTGAATCTGGGCAGGACGTTTCAGGGCTGCAACTAAGCAAACCCTAAGGTACCCGAGCACAGAAGCATTAACAATGTGCTTTTCTTTGGCAGCCTCAGAGAAGATATTTTCTGCACCTTGTCTCATACTACCACCAGCAAGCAGGATAAAATTATTTCTTCTAAAATAGATTTGGTGCTCAATTTGCACATCTGCATCCAAATTCAGCACTGTCAGTAAGTGTAACAGAATTACTCCTTTGCATTAGATGTGATCCTCAGTTTCAAAACCCAAGGACACACAAGTAGAAGCACAAAACAAAACAAAGCTGATAGAGGCCGATGAGCAGCTGCACATGAGCAGTCTTTTTATGGCCCTTGTAATACTTGTGGTTCCTCTGCATGTTCCTCCCAGCTTGTACAATAAAGGCAGACTGGTTAATTTTCCATTAAGGTTTACATTTTTATTTCTTTTGGAAGTGCAAAGTATTTATGTCCACTGTTGTACACACCTTATCCGAGGTTCGCTCTCTTGCCAATAACTAATACCGTGCTCAGCAAATATTATAAAAATTTGAAGATTACTTACATTACACCTTCTCAGTGCTGTACAGAACAGATAGATTTATTGTTTCCCCTTCATTGAGCAATACTTAAAAAGAGGAATTTGGAGTGGCCAAAAGTTAATTTTCTTTAAATAAGCTAACGTGGTTCCTATAAATGGAAATAAATATTTCTGTTAATATGCTCAGAGGCATTTTCCATCACCCCTTTTAATCAACTTCCAAAATACGCTCAGCAGAGAACATCAGATTGGATCCAATTTCTGCTATATCACACGGAACAAAAGGCTCCAGCAGACACACATCTTTCCAAAACACTTCTATTCCACAGCTCTGCCTCCATTTTGGATGACAGACAAAGGGGATAAATGTGAATATAACGCCTTATAGAAGAGATGAAAAGCACAACTGAAGTCAGAGCAAAAGGTGCAGATAAATCCAGGAAGTGCTGCTGCCAGCTGCAACCACCACAGGAACAAAGGAAACAGCGACAGAGCCCGTTGGCTTGAATTTGTTATAGAAATAAAATTTGGGGAGGGGAAAAAAGGAAAATTGGCCGGGTTTCACATGGAGCGGGGCACGAGGGTTCACTTTGCCCTTTAAGGGTTTCTCCAGGGACTGTTCAGCACCAGAGGCTCCCACTCGCTCCCAGCCTGGCCGTGGGATGCTGAGGGTTCCCAGCGGCACCAGGAGCCGGGACCCCTCACCCCTCGCCCCCCATCCCTGACCCCTCATCCCGGGGGGACGCAGTGACAGCCCCCCCGGCCCCCTCTAATCCACGGGCCTCAGGCCTAAGGAAAGAACCCGCGGGGACCCCCAAGTTCACTGAACACAAAAGCGGCCCCGACCCCCCGCGCGTGGCTCGGCTCGGGTCCGCTCGGGGGGTCCCCAACGAGGGGCGACGCCCGGGGCGCGCCCCCGCCCCTCACGGCGGCCTCGGGCCCCCGGCGCGATGCCCCCGCCCGGCCCCGCCGGGGCTTTCCCGCGGCCGTGCCCCGCTCCGGGCGGTACCTGTAGGCCAGGGACATGCACTCGAACAGCTTCGTGAGGGACGCGTCGATGCTGAGGCGGCCGCCGGCGCCGCCGCCGCCGCGGGCCGCCCCGAACTGGTAGGTCTGGCAGGTCTGCTCGTTGACCGTGTCGAAGTCGTAGCCCTTCTTGGGCGGGTGTTCGCTGTGCGGCGACGAGACCATGAAGTGCCCCGAGTGGATGATCTGCGGGCCCGGGGGCTGCCCCCGGCGCGGCCCGCACCGCCGCCCCCCGCCCGGCGAGGCCCCGCCGTCGTCCGTGTCCGACGAGTCCTCGTCGGGCTCGGTGCGGGGGGACAGCGGCCCCGCCGCCCCGAGGAGCCGCGCCGGCCGCATGAACACGTCGGCGGCCATGGCCCCGCTGCCGCCCGGCCGAGCCCGCCGCCCGCTCTGCGCCGCCACCGCCCCGCTCCGCCCCGGCCCGGCCCCCGCCGCGCTTAAAGGAGACGGAGCGGCCCCGCCGCCGCCCTTCCCCTCAGACCTCGCCGCCCCCGCGGCACCGGCCCCGCCTGAGGCGACGCGGCCTCGGGGGAGGCACGGCCCACCCGGGTCAGTTCACCCACCCGGCTCATCCTCACCCACCCCGGTCACCGTCACACACCCCAGTCATCGTCACCCACCCCGAAGCCCACAAGGGACCCCCCACCCCCCCAAGGTTCCACCGGGATCACCAAAAAAAGCAGAAGGTATTGGTGCTGCTGCGCTGTCCCCGCTGCTGTTGCTGTTTTGAAATGTTTTAATTTTTTTTTTTTTGTGCTTAGGATAGCCGCAGTCAGAACGCCTTGCTGGGAGGTGGCAGTTAATGCTTGGTTTAATTAAGCCCTAATTAATTTAACCCTGACCCTAACCCCGCTCCTGCTGAGCATAACTGGTATAAATGAGCCAGCAGGGCACTTCATCCGGCAGGTCAAGGAGTTTAAAAAAATCCCCATAAACTCAAACACAAGAAGTTTCACCTCAACATGAGGAAGAACTTCTTTCCATAGAGGTGGAACAGCCCTGGAACAGCTGCCCAGGGAGGGTGTGGAGTCTCCCTCTCTGGAGACATTCCAAACCCACCTGGACACGTCCCTGTGTCACCTGCTCCAGGTGACCCTTCCTTGGCAGGGGGGTTGGACTGCTTGATCTCCAGAGGTCCCTTCCATCCCCAACAATTCTGTGATTCTGTAAAACATTCCTAAACTTAAGGGACTGTGAGGAACATGGAAACGTAGAGAATAGCCCAGAACTGGCTGAAGAATGTTGAAGAAATAGCAATTGTGCTAAAGTACCTAATTTAAACTGTCTTTAATACACTAAATTGCTTATTATTTTTCAGAAGCCATTGCAAGAAGCCAGGGCACCTGGAGAAGAAGCTGGAGACCTGCAGCAAGCACTGCTGGAGTCAGAGAGAGGGCAGGACACGTAGCTTCTTCTGCCAGGCTTGTGGCTCACACCCCATGGTACCTGCTCGGTGGCACCTGTGAAGGAACCACAATTGTTCCAGGGGAAGGAAAGATCAGATTTCATCCTTCTTAAAAGCATAAAGGAAACAATGGATCGTGTAGGTCAACATGAAAGCACAGCAATAGGGCTGGTGAGGGGAGAGAGCAGCATCCTACAGCACAAACCTCATACCTGTACCTATGTGTACACAAAGTCAAGAGAAGAGGCCTTGAGTGTCCTCTGTAGAGCAAACCTCCATCAGCAAGAGAGCTATCCTACATGCCATACTCCAAAACACTGATGCTAAATTGTGAATATTATTTCAGTTCTAGGACCTCATACTTAAAATGAAAAAACAGGCTTGTCTACACAGCCATGCTCGGGAGGGAAAAAACCCTCCAAACACTAAATTGCCACGTGCTACATTCTCTGCTTCATAAAACCAGAAATAAGATCAAGGGAAACTCAAGAGATTGAGAGCAAGTCTTGGGCATGCAAAGAAGAGCATTCCTGCAGTATCCCAATTACGCCCATGCAATGATCCAGCATTCCCCATTAGCATGAATCAAGGCTGATCACTGTGTTTAGGGGAGGAGTGGTAGGTCAAACACTCCCCCACACATGAAAGCAGCAGGAAGGCATGGCCACATCATGTGAGGGCTCTCTTAGAGATCTTTAAAAATCAAAACCAACACGCAGTTCTTACTTAGCATCACATACGACTCAAATTCTGAAGGCCAGTCATATTTAGCTTCAAAGCTGGTTCTTGCTACCTTATATTAACATTTGCTTAAAAAAATAGAAAAAAAAATGCTATCTCCCAGCAAGGCATTCTGACTGAGAATACTTTAAGTACAAAAAAAAAAAATCAAACATTTCAAAACAACATTCACAGTTTTACAATACCTATTTTAAGTCTTCCATGTAGTTCAAGAACTAAACCTGAACTAAAAAAATCATGACACCTCAGTAACAGCACTGTGTAACACTTCCATGACAACAGCCTATACATTTACCTCACTTAATTCTAAGCAAGCCACACAGGCTTCATCCCATAGGAAAAGAGGGATAACTTGTCAAAATAAATTTAGGTAACAATGCAATTTTCTAGGAAGAGTAGCAGTACCAACCATCACTTATGGCACAGGCAGCAGCCTTAAGGTACAACTAACATTTGATAAAGTTCAAGGTTTTCTCCTCTAGTCAGGTGCAAGGATAGGGGCATCCCCTAAAATAAATCCAGTTATTTTGGAAACAGACCTCTTGGTTTGCCTTAAGATCAGCATTTAGCTGATCAGTACCAGGTCAAGCCTGCCTGTTCTCCACTCCTCCTCCACAGTAAGGAATTCCAGGAAGCACAGGGAAATACTAAGAGGCCCCAGCAGCATCTTTGGAGTATGTTTTTTCTTACTGTTTCTTTTCATCAATCCCTAGTGAGAGGTGAAACACAGGCCTCTGTCTTCTGATGATGTTCCTTGATCAAGGAACATCAGTTCCTTGAACAAAGCTTTTAGCACAGGAGGAGGACTTAGCAGCTGCACTGCAATACACAGTGAGCAGAGACATTCAAGCTGTTCAAAGACATACCCACAGTGTATTCCACACTACTTAGTGGTGAGAGATTATCCTCCTAAATCTACAGACAGGAAGATAAGCATTCCCATACTGATGAGGGAAAGAGCTCAGGGAAGCTTCCTCCCAGCCTCAGACAGGGCTGGCTGCAGGCTCTGGGCAGGCTCCGCTGGCTGTCCTGCTCCCAGGAAAACCACAGGGACAACCTGTGTGTGCCCTGCTCCAGGCTCCTGCTGCTCCTTTGCCCTTCCCTGGCACAAGCCTTACCTGTTCAGAGGCCTTTCCTTCTGGGACCCATCTTGAGTTACATCCTTGCTGCAACCTGTATTCTCTCTCTCCAGTTCCACCCTGTATGTAACTCCTTTATATACGTCTGTTAGTTCAATTCACTGATCTGGAGAAGGAAAAAAAAACAACTACACTGCCGTTTCCTTCCCAGATTAGTGAACTGTAGGGGTTAATGGGGATGTTATGAACACCCCAGCAAATGCAAGGCAGGGAACAAACCCAACTGGGAGCAGGCAGGCTGGGCTCGCCCCTCTGGGAGCAATGAGCCAGCAGGGCAGTCCAGCTGCCTGTGGAACCACAGGCCACTTTGGGACAGAGCACATAGAACACTAAAAATAAGCTGGACACTTTATATCCACCTTGAATGTAAAGAATCTTTCCAAAACTCCTCAGGAGTTTTACCCTTGCAAGCATCGGACTCGAGCTTGTTTCCAAACTGAAGCACGTTTCCACACTCTGCCCTCCCTCCTCCCTCCAATTTAAGTTACTGCAGCACATAACCTGAGTACCAAATGAGGAATTTGGTACTTAAATTACCTTAAATTACCACATTATTCTGCAGGTTCTGTAATTACATGGGCCATATCTATTCTGTTTGTTGTTCTTACAACCGCCCGCCTGCCCCACCACACTGTCAAGACACCTTTGGACTGCTCAAAGGTGAATTATTTTACACGTTACCAAACAAGACAGCACCACAAAAGAACATTTAAAAATGCCATTTATAAAAACAGAAATTTATTGTAAATTAAAAAAAAAAAACAAAACAAACCAAAACAAACTGAGGTTAAGTTTCTTGATAAAAATTATTCACACAGCATTCGTGTTGTGATTTTTTATTTTATTTTTTTTGAAATGAAACCATTGTACATTGTACAAACCATAACTACCGATGGAATAAATAAGTGAAAAATTATACTGCTGTACAACACACACACACACAAATCATAAGATGGAAAACGATTAGGTATTGAAGAAAACAAAATTCTTTACACCTTCTAACAGGCCCTTAGATATAAAGAACATTCCAAAACATGACAATGTTTTATGTATGAAGATAGCCACCCAAAACCGATATTTTATACTGCCTTGTTGATTTATTTTTTTTTTGTTGTTTTGTAAGTGCCAGCACTTTTTGGAATGTTTTAACAACTACTTTCCCAAGCATAAAAATTCCAAGGAATAGTTCTGCTATAAAATGTTTGGCTGAGTAAATCGCTTATCCGGAAGGCCTTCCCACGTGTTCCACAAACTCAGCTAAGTTACTTGCTTGCTTCTAGTTTCTTTATTTTTTTTTTCCTTTTTTTTTTTTTCTTTTTTAGTTTTTTATTTATTTATCTGTAACTGAAGCTCCAACATTCAGCATTGTAGCAAGGAAGCACTTCTTGATATTTGCACTATTTCTAAAACATCAGCTGTATGAGAACTTTCAGTCATCTTGAAGAAAATTACATCTCTCCTCCTGCTCCACCTCTCAATGCTTTCAATAAACCCTTTTACAGTGAGTTCATAAAACAAGTTTCGGGTAGAGATAGGTCCAAGCCAAAACCAGCTGGATTTAGATCTCGTTTCAAACCTCAGGTGGATTTGAATTCCATATTCTGGTTTGGTCCCATCTGTACTTTCTGGCATTAAAATGTGTTTAATCACATCCGTTGGCCCATAAATGTTATCAGGCACTTCAAAAAAAGACTAATAACAGTCTTATACACTATTTTGGATTTCTTCATACCAGATAATGTCAAAGTCTCTTCCCTTAGAGACTGACAATAACAGGTCTAAGGAACCCAAATCTATCTGCTTGTTCAGTTGTCTGTTGTCACTAGAATCTCTGGTTAAAATAAAAGATCTGAATGTATTCTCTGTAAGCTGTAAATAAAGGATTCCTACCTCAGAAATAAAGCCTCTAGGGAAGATGGTTATGATGCCTTGTCTTGTAAGTCACAGAACAATGAACAGTTCTGAGCAGAAGCCACAGGAGAGAAAAGGAAGTTTATAATTAAACCTGTTGATGTCAATAATGCCAATAAATGTTTCTATCTAATGAAAAATTTGAGGTATTTTTAGTGCTATTTATATATTTTATTTCTTCCTAAAGTACAGGAATTAGTTCCTAAATGAAAAGTCTATTTACTCCCTTGGAAACGTCTACAAAATGAAAATTAAAAACTTGCTGCGATGCACCTGAAGAGAGGGATTAGTAAACACGACTAGTTGTCAAAGGTGGCATCAGATTTGTTTTGTTTTAGCATTAAAAACAACAAAAAGTTAGTAAATCAAAAATATTTTAAAAGTTTGAATCTTTCTAGATTTGCCCATTTAATATATCAATAGAACTTCTCACAAAATATCACTTAAATCTGAATGTAATATACATACAAATCAATCATCATGGACCAGTTATCCACATTTTAGGCATACACACAATTCAAGAGAGAATTCTACCGTTTCATTGCATATATTGTGCAAATTCAGTTTTTGGCTCCTCATTTCCTTATTTTCAGGATGTTAACGGACTTCATGATCAGACCAGAAATCCCAAAAGCTTATTAGGGAGCACGCTGTTTTCATGAATGATTTGCAATCCGATTTTATTCAGTTAAAATCCAAAAAAGTTTTATTTCAACATAAAGGAAAAGTTCTGAAACTGAGTGTCATAGGTTACGTGGAGTTCAGTCCTACAAGCATCTTACGGAAGGTCAGTATTGGCTCCCCACTCCTCCCTCCCTCTGTTCCCTCCCCCCAATTCCTCATTGCTTTTCCTAATAAAGTGGTAATTGCAAATGTAATGCAGTAGTCTAAGTGCAAGCCATTTTCACTATTGGAGAATCCCAACCTAAATAAGCTTCATGAAGAGCTAATCATGAAAATGTATCGACTGGAAGCAATTTCTCCTTTTCACCTAAAAAAGTATTTACAGTTTTCAGCTTACAAACTACACGCAACCATTTCCAGAGCTGTGAGATCATAGTTTAAATTACAAGTTCCATCTCCCACACCAAGTGAGGACAGAGTCAGGGCCTGATCCAGCAGTATGTACATATGGATGGATGTGTGTGTGTGCATGGAAGTGGGAAACGAGCGGTTCCACCGACACCGGGGGTTTATTCCCTGGAAGTACAAAGCCCACTGGAAGACCAGACCCTTGTGACCTGATGCAGATGGTTCTGCTCGCCACGAATTTGAAGGGAGTTGCACCTACCTCGTGCCTTTCCATCAAGTTTAGCATAAGCACACTTTAGTTGGGAGAGAAGGAACATTTCTAACTGATGTGGGGACTATGGAGACAACAAGGCTTATTTACAAGACTTGCTGAAAGAGAAAAGGAAACCCCCAATACAGTATTTTCCTGGAACACAGAAGTAAACATCTCATAATGAAACAGTACAATGAAATCCAGTTCAGTGAAAACATGATATCAAAAAAGACCAATTGAAAATAAACTGACTGTGCATCAATCCCTTTGATCCTATTTATGTACATAGTGGAACTTTTCTGTAAAGTTGTACCCAGTACAGAGATCTGGACCTAATACGTAAGTATTTTAAGTGCCTGTGTTATAGTATATATTCAGATCTGGACTATAAATGGTAAACAGATCATGTTAACTTCTGATGAAGTTAAGTATTTAGAAGACCAAATTTACAGTTGCGAATGCCATGCATTCAATAAAAGATCTCCACTACAGCTGCTAAAATAAAACATCAAGCTCCTTTTTCTCCTTGGACTCCAAGAGTGAAAATGGCTTCCTGATCTATAGTTGTTTAAAAATTTAAGCACCAGGGATTTAAAACTTAAAAACGAAACAAAAAACCCCAAACAAACAACAAAAAAAAAAAAAAAAGAAAAAAAAAGAAAAGAAAAAAGCCTTACTACATGGCATTATACAAACATAGGCCACTTTGCAAAGGAGACAGTTGCAAAACAACTTTTAAAAGTTAGCACTGTTTTCAGAACACAAGGCACAAAACAAAAGCAGACATCACGCCAGAACAATGAACTTCACATGAAAGCTAATACCTGACCTGTACCATCCTTAAATATCTTACAATGTTAAATAGAGAAATGAAAAAAAAATACAGCAGCAACATAATTGTAATTTTGACTTTAGAAACAGTGCGTAGACCCCTCCTGAGTTGTTTACTCCAACCATTTCAGAGACAGTAACTTAAAAGTTCTCAATGTTTGTTTCACAGGAAAAAGTTTTCAGTGTCTGAGAAGTTAACCTTTGTTAGGCTTTCTTGGATTTTTGCTTGGTAACTTGAAAAGTTAGGAGTTCTGTCCTCATCCAAGAGAAGATGCTTAAGTAAGGTTGTTCTATAATTAAGCCCACTGATGTACCTTACATAAAATCTGACCAGAAAAATCTATAGTCTAAATCTCTTCAACATTTTGTTGGGAAGCCTCTACTTTCATCTTTTTAGAAGGTGGCACTCCTTCAGAGTCCTTAATGAGGGGGAAAAGAAAAACAGCCACGTTATCATTGCACTGAAGTTGAGGCACCGCAAACATCAAACAAACAGCACGAAAATGTCACGTGTGACAGCCAAAGCATCCCTGGATGCCAGAACAACATTCCCAAGTGCATCTGCTTCCTGAAATCACTCCCCTACTTACTTCTTACCTCGACATCTTTACACTTGTTGTCGTCTACAAAGGGCAAAATTTTAGTTCCGGGCTAAAAACCACAGTGAATATTCCAAGGAACAGCAGGGTCACCCCTGCCCCAAGCACACGGGGATTTTCTCCTGCTGTAGCCAGAGCAACCTCTGTAGTTCAGAACAGGCAGGTTGGGGAAGTGCCAGGTGTGCACTGGAACAAACCACTGACCCACAGGAAAACCAATGGACAGAGCAGTGCTCCCTGAGGATCTGGAGTTGTCCTGCCCTGAGAAGGGCACACCTAAAAGGATAATTTCTTTCTCCCCCCTACCCAGAATTTTTCAGTGTATCAGCGAATAAACATCCAAACATCTCATCCACTGAATCTATAAAAATTAACTTTCCTAACTGCCTATGCATTTACCTTTGTAGAAGGCATTTTACCTCTGAATGGTCCTCAAAGGGGCCTGCTCAGTAGGTTTGGTCCAAGCAATTTATTAATGTAAAATTTTATTCCATTACAAAACACAGACTGGTTTTTAATAACCAAAACCTCAAACAGACCAATCTGGTCTTACTGTTCCAATTATGTGAAATTCAAGTAGCCAGTCACTTTTGGAAATTATTCTAAATATACAACTGGCCTCCTTACATTTTTTTTTTAGTAAAAATACTCTTTTCCAAAATCCAAGTAATTGGGCTTCTGCACTTTAAGTTACCTGAGAGTTTTTAGATGCCTCTGTAATTATATCATTTTCTCCAGAGGACTGAATTTCTGCTTTCTCTGAACTATTCATGGAATTTTCCATTGAAGACTGTGAATTCTGTTCATCAGAGGTATCTGAAATTTCAAAAAACAATTTTAAGCAAACAAATGAAAGCATTCAGCGGGAGCTTTTAGGATGTCTTCCCATCAGCAGCATCCCAAGCACATGCATTTCACCCACGTGTAATGGTTAATGATAACATACATAACTGTGTGAATATCATGAATTAAGCTCCAAGTGCAGGATCACAACGTGGCTGCTGGCAGAGCTTCTCCTTCCCAGTGCCGGCAGCAGAACCCTGGGATCAGACCCTAGAGGGAGCCAGGCTCCCACACACCCTCACCCAGCACTGTCAGGGCCGGCAGCAAACAAGTCTCAACACAAACTGACTGCAAACAAACTTCCTCCAA